CTTCTGGGTTGTTACTGCGTGTAGTTTTATAGAAGCTTGAAATTAATTCGTTGAAATATACCAACGTTTTATAAGTGTTTATTGCCATCATAATGGTCCTGATGATGGAAGCGGTAATCACCTCTGAAACGTCGGTAAAGTTAGACCAAACCACGCGGCGTAACATACGAGGATACAGTCAACTTCATTTATTACAGATCGCTTTGTAATTTCTAGGTACATTGCGCATTCAGGTGTGTCATTAGAACTTCGCTAGGTGTCAGTACTGTTACTGGGCGAAAAATGCCCACAGAATATTGAGACAAAGGACTTATATAACGAAGAAACGTTATCACAGTAATGATATTTGAATATAAAGGTTAAGAGGACAGACCAGTGACTTGGTTTTGCGGAAGTTAAGTTCCTGGTGTTCTCCACGGCAAGGAAATTGCTACTTCGGACCATAATGCTTCTCTGCACAAAGAGGGCAGTTACCCAGTCGTCGTAATGACGCAGGGACGATGTTCCACTTGTTTGCACTCGTTTCGTAATCTTATATTGTTACAGCCGGTTTGTTATTACTCTAAACCTTTGGCTCGTACTTCGTTACTTGAGTGAACTTTCTGTAATATTCCGTCAACAGTAAATGTTAATTCAGAGGCAGAAGTGGTTTGGAAGCTGACTTTGTTGTCTCTCGAAACATGGGCAGGGAACTTAAATGTTCAGTGTAGCTCTGTACACTCTTACGCAGTTACGCAGTCTCTCCCTCCGAATTATTGGAGAGTACGTGCCTTGAAACTTGAAATCATTACTCCTTTTAACTGATGACTAATTTTTCAGGAGAAGCATGTAGCTTCAAATATCTTTTGTGTGAAAAGGTGTGTTATAATATTATCTAGAAGTGTGTGATGTTCCCCCATTTATTTAATTTTGAAAACATATTTTTTCTTTCGTAGTATTTACAATAAGATATTTCAATTTTGTTCCAAGATACGCAGAGTCAAATGTCTTAGTATATTTTGGAAGAATAAGGAAAACTCTGAGGTAGTGGAATAAATAGCCACAAATCTAATGAAATATATTTTGCTGTACAACATAACATAACATAGAATGTGAATATGACAGAACATTAACCACATCATATATCCCATGTATCATAAACGAAATCATTATTACAAACTAATAGTATTTTGGTAAAATTCCAATGCCTCTCAATTGAACTTGTCTGTGGAGATTACACTAAGTTTTTCTATAATTTGCAGTCTTTTTTTTTAATGTTCGACCACAGGTTTGCAACATAATCCCTGATGTCAGGAAAGTAGAACCTTTTATACTACGACAAAATGAAAAAGTCCCTGATTTTTTCAATAACATTGACGTGAAACGTTCTGCAGTGTGGAGCATGCAAGTTTGAAAAATGAATACTTTTATGAAAATAATAAAATGTGAGGTAAATCTTATGTATTTCGTAGGATTTTGGGTTTTCAGGGCGGTGAGTCCGTATACAGCTGTCTTCCGGGTTGTAACGCCGTGTAGTCTGAAACGTCGGTAAACTTCTACCACACTACACGGCGCTACAACCCAGAAGACAGCGATCTTCTGATATAGTTCGTATTTGAAAGTCACTTAAATTCTTATTCTACTCAATGTCCGTGAAATTTACAGTTTGATTCGACTCTGTAAATACAGTAAATACATAATTAATTTAACTTGCGTAATTAATATCCCTTACCGATCTCGAAATAACTTCAGATGCCCTGACGAGGTCAATGTTAAAGTTATAGAAATTAGCAAATCAGGGTAGTTATGTTTGAAATTTTAATTGCTACATATCAGACGAGTGGCATTTATTTCTGGTAATGACGTTGGTATTTTTCTCAGCACGCTCGCCATGACACTTTGAAACAATTTTAAGCCGAATGAGGAAAATTTGATAAAATTAACAAGAAAAAATTTTGAGACATTTTGTGGCGGTTAGAGAGCATCTCAGTTTTAGAAGGTTCCCAGACAATGCTCGTTCGTCCTTCTGATAGGGATAGAATTAGATTGAAGACGTTAAGGTGATAATTGATAACTGAGACGAATGTATTTTGATTTGCTTGTTAGTGAATGTTGAATCTATAATTTTGAAAGTTAAGTAAGTAATTTAGTAGCCTTCGTAGTAAGGGGTGGTAAATTTTGATGAAATTTAAATCGTGAGGGCTGCATGAGAAACATCTCAGCATTTGCTTGAAGACAGAGGAAAACCTGTGTCGAGATGGCCGGTCCCAGGACCTTCTCTATGCACACTGACTACTAGCCAGCGGTCCGGCAGACAATAGAGGAATTTATACATCCCCTAGGTTTCCCTAACACGTGTGCCACAGAGTTTATCGATAGTTTTCAGTGCATTTGATTCGGTAGTACAATATAATATATTAATAAGCAGATTATCAGATTATCCACGTCTACTTCCATAATCTTCTTCACATCTGTTCCTATTCGTCGTTACATCGTGTGGGTTGTCAGTCTGGTCCAGAGAAGGGGTTTAAATTGCTTCTAAGAATTTATTCTGTATCACAAAGGAAAAATAACTCATAAACATTACAGAGATCAACTACGTAACGATGCTTAGGTGAATAATCGCTTTTTAATCTGATAATCTTATAAAATTTATTTGTACAGAATTTATAAACATTTTTTGTTAAAACAGGTGTCTGTTTATATTTCTCGTCTATTCGAAATTTTCTTCACACTTTTTTATTATTAGTGTTCAACCTAGATCTCCTTATTAAATGTGTACCAAATAGTTTTTTTTATAAACCACACTGCAATATTATTGTTAGTTACTTACATATACCAAATATTATTATCGCGTTTATTTATAACTTCAAAATTCATGTATCATTTATGAAGTCGAGCAAACACAAACAGTACGTGATATTAAGGGTTTTGTAAAATGAGTGTCTGAGGAAAATATAAGGAACTGAGACGAATAAACTAACAGGAGGTTTTGAGAGAAATTAAGACGTTTCATAACTTGTGCGTTAAATCAACTATTAGTCTATTAAAATTAAAAAATCAAGACATGACATGACTTAACTAACATTGACGCTCTGTTATCCATGTTGGTTTCGGCTTACAAAGTTGAACTGTGATCGTAAAGAAATATGGCGTTGACTGCCTACAGCTGACTCGTGGTATAGGCCAGTGGAGGGCTGTTATGAACAGTGTAATGGACCTTCGTGTTTCATGAAAGGTGGAAAATTTCTTTACTAGTTCAGCTAATCTTAGCTGCTTAAGAAGGACCATATTCTTAGGAATTAGGTCATTGACTGCAGTTTCGTACGCTGAATTTTTAGAACTTATTTTCCTTATAAATAAATGTCTTTAAAGCCACTCGTGACATTTTTCGTGAAACGATGTAATCACGAATATTATATTTTATAATGATTAGTAAATAACTAATTTCATTTTACGTTTACAAACATTTGCGTTGTTTTTATTTTGTTGTTAAAAAACTGAGGTTGAATAAACTTTACTTTCAACTCATGACACGTTATTCAATCCGTTGACCTCTAGTGAAGACATACAAACAGAATTTCCTCTATTTGGCAGGGGACACTAAGTTTAAAGACACTTACTTGTATACAACACGAAGCAATATTGATAACTTTAAGTACTTTCCGAAATAAGTCCTGTGTTTTGACGGTGCTCAGCTGTGACTGACTTAATCCACGCGTGCTCTGACGTTGAGCGAGAGATAAGGATGGCATTGCGATGTTCGCTAGTGATACAGCGGGTTTCTTAGTTGTTATGAAAACGACGTAATTAACTGACTTACTCAGAGTAGATGTAACACAGTAAAAGTCGCATTCCTGTAATCTCTCTGCTTTGTTTCAGATCAACCCTTGGATGGTACAGGCGAGATGAATAACTCCGTCTACAGCAATCCTAGTTCGCTCAGCGGACACCTGGCGGAGAAAGGTAAGAACCACTGTCATTAAATTTATCTAATTCACTTCGTAACACAAGTGTTATTTTCTACAGCGAAGCAGAAAAGATAAACTCTTAGGTCGTTGCCTCAACATTCGAGAGGTAAAGTTTAATGGCCGGTATTTGATTCCCGCCACGTCCAGCTTAACCCTAAAGCCCACTCAACTCCCTCTTTTATAGATACCAAAGTTATGTACTATTTGAAATTTTCACTTATCGCCCTGATGATGGAGGCAGCATTGACCGCCGAAACATTCTTAAACTTTTGTTAGACTACACTGCGCTACAAACCAGAAAGACAGCCATCTTCAGGTCACAGTTTTCCCTTTTCGGTGGTCTAGGTGTCCCGTGAAAAAGCTGGTTTAGATTCTGTTGGCCCTCTTTCAAAATTTGGTTCTGTGGTGGCGATAGCATGCTTACGGTAACCAAATATCTTGGTTGCCGAAACTAACTTGTTAGCATATGGACGTATCCCAGACCATACTTCCTGGATCTTGACAGATTACTACCAGAATGAACCAAACAATTTTATAAATTCCAATTTCCTATCGAAATGAACCGTTTACTTTAAATGAAAAATGGGTACTTTGATGAAGGTTCCTGAATACATCGCCAGATTTAATGCCATCCAGTTTATTTTTCACCTTAAATTCTTCAGGGATCGGACCCCCGAATTTGGCCAGAACATTGTCTCATTATGTTCCACTCAGCAATTTCACTCTGTAATGAAGTTAGGCGTAATGTTTTTGGGGAAATTTATCTGTCAGTAAAAGAGATACGTATACACTTTACTAAAGAAACCCATTACATTTATGACCGGTACCAAACCAAGAAATTCGTGTACTAATTTGTATGTTTTACGCTTCATAACTTATTCCGTATTCTATAGTCCAGTCACAAACTTTTGTATCCGTGGTCTGTCTCCGTTGTAGCATCTCCGTGTGTTGTTATTTGCGACGCAAGAGAATTTAACAAATGATAATATTAAATTTATAGACTGAAACACGTATTTCAAGACCACGGACGGACAGGAATAAACAAGAAGCCGTTTGCTAGGCGATGGAGAGTGATTTTCAAATTACGTGCGGATTTATCTAAGCTGGTGCGGTGTGTGTAATTGTGGTTAATGATGTAATTTAACAAAGTTTTGTTTTTTTCAAAACTGAAAGTATTTAAAACTACGATATTTGTTACGCCGTTGAAACCACAGCGTATCTGAAATCAAAATATTTTTGTTTCACGAGTTACTTACTTGTGTTCCATGCCGTGTTAATTAAGAAAGAAAATGCTAAACTTTGCCCCTGTGTGTGCAGAATATTATGAGGTGCTACTTTGAATTTTGTAACTCGTTTAAATTTCAACTGGAACCAGTTATTCTCACTGAGATACTGGACTGTATTTTGCTAGCAGATTTGAGGCAAAAATTCGCTGTGGCAATATTAAAGCAACGAAATATTTGTCCCTACGAGGCAAATAAGAGAATTTTCTAATTTCAACGCGGTAAGACAATTTTTTTTAGCTTGGTGCGTCTTTGCTGCAAATGATATATGCAGAATTTTTTAAAAAAAAATTTGGGGCAAAAACACTGTCTCCTTTGAAGACACGTTCCCCCTTCGTTTTCTGTACATCTTAAGTGTCCACATTGATTATAGTACCGAAAACAATAAAACATGGAGACGAAACTAGACTGAATAATTATAAGAGTATTCAAAAAATGTATACACACGTTTAATGGATTTTCGTTTCTCGAAATTCAATCGACCCTCTGTCATTTTTCGTATCTGAATTATAATAAATATATTACAGGGTCGTATGTTAAGTCCGTACCAAACTACGTTCTCCTCGTTAACACAACGTACGGAGATCAAGAACACAGTTCATATTCCGTAACGTATCATATATACAGGTTTTTGGGACACCTGTATGTATACAGTTTAATTTAGTTTTCATATTTTATTGTTTATGTACTCTGTATTTATTTCATATTCTTGTACTGACTCTGTAATGTAAGTGAGTTAAAATAAAGAATTGAATTTAAATATTATTGGTGAGAAATTACACAAAATTTTAACCAGGAAACACAAACAGGTGACGACCATTTAGAGATTGAAGAATTTTTTTGTGAAAGCGGGGACTAGATTTGTCTTGTTCGTGATAGTACCCACTAGAAACGGGAATTTGTGAACTCTATTATATCTTTATAGTCCTAATAGGCCGCGAGCTTAGGATTTGCCATTGTCAAAATCTGATGATTAACTCGCTTTCTGGGGAAAAAAATTGTTCTTGGATAAAATTCCGTTAAATTAACACATTCGGACGACTTTTAATTACCGTTGACGTGTAATTTAGTTGTGACAATTTATTATTAATTGGCTTGTAGCTTCATTACTGATTCAGAACTACACGCGAATGACGGAGTGTGGTTGACACCTTGTTTAAGGATTCAAAAGGAACATGGTGATTTTAAGTGGTCCTTCTAACAATTCTGAATACAAATGCATTTTTCAAACACATATTCGCTGTACAATACGATAGTGATGTTATATGATACTCTTTGTTTCATATCGGTTCTGCACACACATTTTACCTATTAATTTCTATAAAACACCTCGGACACGATTTCCCGTGTTACATGAAGCCGTTTACCAGCCGTCGCCAAATATCTTCCTTCAAACTCATATAAAATTTATATAGCGTTTGAAACAGCTGAGCCTGCGCGAGTTACGACAGCTCAGAACTCGCAGCGTACCAAAGCTGGCAACGCTGTATTGTCTGCGACAGAATGAGGAGAAGAAAGTTGATTTTCGTCGGTGACCTTGAAACGCGTTTTTGTGACGGCTACCATAAAATAATTCGACTGTGCACTTACAGATCGTCTTGAGCTGTTGTCTAACAGGCAAGGGGCTAGTACATTGTGTAAGACATTCGGTAAGATCGGATACCTGCAGGGGATAATGAAATAGAAGATAACAAGACGTGAAGGGAGGATATCTGAAGACAAGGGTGTGGTAGGAAGGGGAGGAGTCTCTTTCCTTTCTTCCAGGCTTTAATGAAAAGTTGCTCCCCTCTGCCACTTAGCATTAATTGCGATGTTCATTTGAAATTCTCTTTTGGTTCGCTCTCCTCTCGTTTCGAAGCCAGAAGGCGCATCTCGTAGCAGATGTTCAACTGATTTCGAAATCAGGAATGCTGGGTCTTTTTAAAGGGTAGGAGAAAAAATATATGGGGGTTGGGGGGGGGGAGATGGATGGTATAGAGCGCAACCCCCAACACCCACCCCTACCTCACCCCATGTACCAGTCTCTACGTAGCCCAGATAATAGGATACAGGGAAAGACGAACTTATTACGAAATCAGAAAGGCAAACGTAGCACAAGAACGGGAAAACCTCGGAAGTATAATAGAGACGGCTTCGAATCCATTCGTACGGCTTTGGTACTGAAGATTCTACTTGGTCTCTCTTTTCGATTTGTATGCCGAGCATATCGTCTTATATAAACCAGTACCAACAGGAGATGAGGTTTTGTCAAAAATAACTATACTATATGAAGAATTGAAATGCAGACTTAACATCCAATTTCCATGTCAAAATCAACAGAATACTGATATGGAACTCCTCTCTAAATATCATAGCATCCACAGCTCAGACTAGGGTGGATATAATATGATTTTTTTCAATAATTTAATTTAACCCTGAGTAAGTCATAGATATTAAGATGAAATGGGGAAAATCATTCAGCCTGTGATTTCATATCAAAAAGTCAACAGAGTTAGGTATGGTTAAAATTTTTAACAAAGTACATGCAAACTTGAAGTGTTCTATAAATTGTCCGCGTGATGTACCCAAGGGATCCACGAGTGGAGTATGTTTTACTGTTTTATTTTATTTATTTTAAATTCTGCATTGTTTTCAGTCTTCAGCGTTTTACATCACGTAATTTATTTACAGAATAGAGTAAAATATTATTAAATCATTTTCATGCCTACGTCCTGTATATATTGTAGTTAGTCTGCTTTCAATTTAATATAAATGTCTTAAAAATAACAAAAAAAAATAAATCTTGTATTCTAGCTTACTAGGAAGATGGAGATGAAAGGTTCCTATGAAACTTTTGTAATTACGTACAAGACTACGTGACAGTATTATCCAGAAGGCCGAAATATACGTTCCCAAAATAATATAAATGAAAAAAATATTGTTATACTAATTTCATAGTAACACGTGGATCTAATATGTAAAGCAGATGTGTGCTGGTTAGGTTAGCAGACGACACAGAAATGTCTCGAAATGGTGTTTAAAATTTGTCCAGTTGTTAAATGGGCACAGAAATATCTCGAAATTGTGTTTAAAATTTGTCCAGTTGTTAAATATATATGAAAAGCTATTCGAGTATTTTTCCACAAGCTTGATTTCACCTTCTCATAAAGAAAATTTCGACGTTTGTATTTCTAAGAGTCGTATTATATAATTTATGCACAACTAGTATATGTTGATTAACAATAAATCCTTCACGCACGAAAATTGCTTTCGAATTATGTACGTAGGTTTTAAATAACTTCGAATAATTAAAACAGTTTCAAAAATATGTTTGATTACGCGACGAGTATACTCTAGGGTGCAAATTTAAAGTATTGACACTTGAAATATGCATATATATATTTATCAGTTTCCTGTTGGGCCGATCATAAACCAAAGCGACTACATTTATGCGCTCTGTGACGCAGTGTAGACTCGTTCGTGGAGAAACGTACTTTCTCAGTCTTCGTACGAGTCTACATAGCGTTATAACCGAGAAAAATAACATCGTCTTTTTTACCGCCTTGAGAACCTCAAGACTCACACGGAAACCAAGACGTTTCGACAAAGTGTTTACAGTTACACTTAATTCATCTTTTCGTACCTTCGAATCAGCTGCAATTACATGGACAGTAGGATTATACTGAATTATGTCCACAGGTTCAAGACTGTAGTTATTAATTTAGGCTATAAGTTGCTTAAATAAATTGTAATAAGATTTGAATTGATAAAATGTAGAAAGTTACACGAATTGTCATTTATATATTTGCATATAAAATTCAGTCTTTATTCTGTTATCTTTGTCAAATATTCCATGTCATCGCCTATCGCAAGCAAATATTTTAAAGTAACTCCGCAGAGCAGATTTCTTCTTAAGAATTTGGTGGTCGCTCAGTTGCTGAATAAACAGCCCCTATCTTTATTTAAATGAGTTTAATTACCGTTTTGGTAATAACTTCTCATCGGGCCCTGTTCTGAATATGTGGCCGATCAAGGGATCTGTATCTTGTGTCCTACGCGACGTTTCGTAGCTTCAAGTTCCCAAGCCTGACTAGAAGTACCTCCTGTCGGCTGTCCGCAAATTATTATTCATTGGATTCGCAGTTGCCTTGGTAACCATTATTTCCGTCCACACCAGGGTTCCTCACTATCAAAAACCTTCAGCTTAAATTCCATCTCATTTTATCATCAGAGCCTGAATTTATCACTGAATATTTAATGCAACACAGAGTGATGGTCTAACTCTGTGCGTCATACCGAGTTTGTTAGGCTACATGTCACACAGCCAAGACAAAGAATTTGCCTCCTGAGCACGGCGAAACTTCAGGCTTGATATGCTAAGTGGTTGATTTGAGGTTCTCACGGCGACAAATATGAAAGGTGGCCAAGAATGAAACCAGATTTGATGTATTATTCAGCCCTTTGAAGCCTAAACTCATTTAAATAATAATAATCCAGTCCGTACCGCGAAGAAAACACCACACTTCACCATTACGAAGATCAACTGGTTAACCCTTTGAAGTCGAAGCTCGACTAAATATTACGTATTTAAGAATTCAGTCCGTACCGCGAAGTAAACACAACTCTTCACCATTGCAATGATCAACTGGTTAACGCTGTTTAAGTCAAAGCTCGTCTAAATATTACGTATTTAAGAATTCAGTCCGTACCGCGAAGTAAACACAACTCTTCACCATTAAAAAGATCAACTGGTTAACCTTTTGAAGTGAAACCTCGTCTAAATATTACGTATTTAAGAATTCGGTCCGTACCGCGAAGTAAACACAACACTTCACCATTACGAAGATCAACTGTTTAACGCTGTTTAAGGAAATAATCGCTGTTTACAGTGAGAATCGTACGAAACATGAATGCAAAATGAAGAGTTACTGATTATAAAAGTAGCTGGTAGATGTAGTTACCATCTGGCTTTAAATGGTTAGTACATTACGTTTTATGAACATTCTTTTGGAATAAATTTCGTCACAGCGCAAAGCTAACCATTGAACGCTATGTCGCACAGAACTCCACGCCTCTATACACCTTAATGGTATGATGCCTAGATTTAGGGGAAAACTAAGCCTGTTGTTTGTGTTTTTTTTTATTTCTAGGATCCAAATACCTGTCGAACATAAATGAAATAGACAAATCCGAGCAGAAGTCATCGCCGGATGCTACCGGAAAAGGGGTCTCTTACGAGTGGCCACAGAATGGCAGTGGATGTAAGTACACTAAGACATAACTCCTTGCTCCTCTTACGACACTTTGTCGATATGAATTTTAATTAGTGTCTATGTTATTATTAAGCAGTAACTTAAAATAGCTACTATAAGTTTTTACGTATCATTTCATTACTTTATACAAATCCACATAACATATGCAAAACCTGGTAAAATATTTACGTTATTATCACACGATTTTGATCAGTGTTGCTTCGTGGCATTGCCACCTATGGCAGCACATTCTCCCAAGACTACTAAACTCTGAGACGCCAAATATAATAATTTTAGTTATGTAATTAAAATTAGACCGTCTTTTTAAAAACACTGTATACGTCTTCGTCGTGACTCAATATGACGTTGGGTTGAAATAATTGTTATGAATTCAGTGCTAGTATTTCAGTCGAATAATGCGGCCTTAAATGTAAGGAAATTTATTACTGTTGTAATAATTAATAGAACAAATGTCCATATGCTATTTAATTGTCTTTAAAAACATTGTTGTCATTTTATACCTGTAAGAATGTGGTTACCTACTTAAAATTTCGAGCTTATTCGATCTTATAGTTGTGGATTTCATTCTGTCTAATTGCAATTTTTAGATTCTTTCATAATTTAACGTTCTCAGTGTAACAGAGAACAATTGAGCTTTCCAGCACTGGTTAATTTCTTACTTCGAAAGGAGAAAATAGTTAAACAGGTTTCTTGTATTTTTGTAAGATACGCGTTGTTTGAAAATTAATTAATTGGCATTGATTTACGTAATAATTAACTTATTTCTTAACCCACCTGCCCCAGTCCCTTACGATTTACTACAAGTTATATGACTCGAGGTGTTCGTGGTTTTCCTTTGTGTCTCCAGGCAAATTCCGAAACAGTACCTTATCAGGCCACGACCGCTTTATTCCACATTCTCTCAACTTTTCTTTCGACGCTATATCATCTGAGCTACTGAAAAACGTCGTTAAATAAACTATACGTAAACAAATAAATACAAATTATGATATTGAAGATCACGTTTCGTTGAAAGAAAATAAAAGTATTTTCTCCTATAGCACTTTATTCCATGTTTTAAACACTTTCGGAATCAGTCTACTATAACTCTGGTTTATGTGTAGGGTTGTCTTTAATTATAATTGCATTACGTTTACAAACAAACGCTTTTCTGTCAGTTAAGTGTATGTATGAAAATGGTAGAAAAATTAATGTAAATTAAATCTAAAACTTCTTGACGATGGTGAAGAGTCAATTGAATAAAAAATTTTTTTTGATTTTTATTAGTTCCGGAGATAGGGATTAGCTCTATCTAGTGGGCCCAACTGAGTAGGAACCTGAAGACGGAGATAGAGTCCCATCTCCGAAACGTCGTTTTACGTTTTATATTTACTAGACGATGGATAATATCCAAGAAAATTTTTATTCAATTGACTCTTCACCATCGTCAAGAAGTTTTAGATTTGATATGAAGATATCGTGTATTACACGTTTAATATCTCTTCTATGTCTTCAGGTATACTGAGGTCCTTGCTGCCTCCATCATCATGACGATGAGCACAAGGACCTCTGGAACTTTGATAAACTTTAAACTAGACTAAACGGTGTTAAAACAACAGAAGGCAGCCATCTTAATATCACAAACTTTACACACAAAGAGTCCAGGCAGACGAGTGTGACGCTTTGAGATTAATGTAAATTGTTACTCATTTGACTACGTCTACTTTTCTGTCTGGTAGCTGAGGTCACAGTGACCCACATATTATTTTAACGCGTAATTTAACTAACTGTCGTCATTTCAAACGATTAAGTCAAATCAGCAACGGTATTTTGTTGTCATTAACGGCTTTCGCTGTACGTATTGCGAGTAGCGTAAGAAGATAATGTACACTCGTGACCTGATTTTAATTACTAGAATTGATAAAATCAAAATCCTCTTCCCCAGATCTTTCTGCAATCATAAACGTTCATTGTAACGTTACTAAGTTAGCGGTAGTGACGTTCTGTGTGTTTAACGATAATAATTCATTGCGGCATTGCAAAGTACAGGAACTATAAAATGTGTTAAGTCTTCACGGCGAATTAAGCCAATTTAATGCGTAACGCATCAACTCCATATTCCCGCCATCAAATCTTACGGACCTCATTTGCGCTTATTGATACCAGAGTCGATACCATCAGAATTTAATTCCAATTTTCTCCGCATCACACAAACAGCGCACTCTAAGTGTTAAGATTCGTTGTTTTATTCAGGATTACGACGTGGGGTTATGACAAACAAACGAATTCCATAAGGCGGAACGCTTATTTAAAAGGCGATAGTCGCCCAGCTAATCGCCACTGGTGTCTATCCTGAACAATGTTAAATCCAATCCATGCTCTCCCACTTCATATCCAGAAGATCCAGTTTAATATTATCCTCCAATCTGCGTCTAGTTCCACCGATTTGTCACTTCCTTTAGGTTTCCCAGCCAAATCTTTTTACACACTACACATTTCCCCCCCCCCATGTGTGTTATATGAAAATCCCATCTCATACTCCTTGATTTTATAATACTAATAACACTTTCTAAGAGTCCAGAGAATAAAGCTCTTAATTATGTTTTTTTTTTTTTTCGAATTCCCTCGTGCTTCATCCGACTTAGATCTAAACGTTCCCCTCGGAACCCTGTTCTCAAACACTCTCAGTTTGTTCTGTTGTTCAACAAAATATATAAAGTTTCGTACTCATAGAATTCAACAGGAAAAATTATTATTTTGTATATTTTAATTCTTATTACTTTGTGGTGTTTGTGAATGAATCCATAAGATTAGAAATATTTTGAAACTCTTACGCGGTTTATTTTAACAACTCGTCAAGTCGTCTCAGAGTGACTTCTTTGCTGTATATCCGATATCTCTCTGTCCTGGGTTAATCACCCACAGGTAAGTGGTGGTTATACTTACGAGTAGATTACGAACCCACGATTCCATCGTTAGCTTTAGTATTACGCGACCATTTATACTTTTTATACTAAAATAAACGTCTTAATATCGTCTAATTCTAAATAAATGTGTATTAACCACTTCGTGGCGTGTCAGATTTGATTCGCGTTTGATTTATTCATTATCCTATTCGCCAGTGTCCCAGCCACGTCACTTCACAGCATCAAACTTTTCTTCAGTCATGAAATCCTATCCACTCATTGTGAAGCATTTGTCCGTCTGTGAACTTACATATATCTTTGTCCGCAATCCCCAATCTGATTCCTCACTTTCCTTCACTATTCTCATTTCTTTTTCCTTCTTCTATGATTCCTTGCTATTCCATATTGTACGTGGAGGGGGGTTTCCCTTCCCGAGAGAATATATCGAAGTAGAACGAGAGATCGATCACGGTCTACGGAGTAAGTACTATGGCGTAGTCAGTCAGCAAAGGGCACGTAGTTGTCTCGCCTCGACTGCAAGCCAGGAACTTCCTCGTTGAGAAATCCACTCTCTGCCTCTCTCACTGTAACTCTTTTTCAGTTTTCTTGATAGCCACTGCGAAATAATAAAAAAAATGCTGGGGAGAAAACAGAATTTTCTCTGGCGGCGAAATCAAATACAATCTTGATTTCTGAAATATTGAGTCACAATATCGTGATAGAAATATCGCCCCGGAGAACACTGAACGGATTTATTGTTACGCGGTCGAACCGACCCAGCCATTGGTGATCCTTGCCATGGCGATTTGTTCATTGATTGACTGATTAGTTGTAAATAAATTAAGCTGTAATATACCATATTTATTTACTGAGATCATGTACCATAGAGGTTAATTATTATTATTATTTATTATCTTATCACAGTTTCTTCCTGGTTTTCCTCTTAAACCCTACTAATCAGGCTTCAAATTTCTGATTGCAACAATTTTTTTATTATTCGTGTTGTTCCTACTGCGGCCATCTGCTGTACAGAAACTAATGATGTTTTTTTTCGTATTGTTTACGGATAACTTGTCCACTTATTTACGATTCCCATTTTGGGGGTTGGACAGGGTGGCTTGAGACTCTTTACCATAAAATTTGTTTCCAGGGATTATGATTTTAGATTTTTTCTGAAATTGTAATGAACTATTAACTAACTAGATGGCTTACCGAACCCGAAGGTTCATCACCGAA